TATCTATCTATCTATCTATCTATCTATCTATCTATCTATCTATCTATCTATCTATCTTTCTTTGTTTTTTCCAGCCTGGGTTTCACTGTTTAGACCCGACTGTTCTGGACTTGCTCTGTAGAACAGCCTGGCCTCAAGCGCACAGAGATCTGCCTGTGATCAGCCAGAGATAGGAGGCAAAGGTAAGTGGATCTTTGAGTTTGAGGCCAGCCTAGACTACAGAGTGAGCTCCAGTACAGCTAGGGATACAAAGTGAGACCTTGCCTGGAAAAAACAAAAATAAAAAAAAAAAAACAACCAAACAATCAAAAAAGAAACACAGAAACAAAACAAGCAATGGTAGCAGACTAGATTATTTCTAAAAATATCTCCTCTACAGACATGATATATCTATCCTCTCTCTATAGAAAGGAAAAAATTATGTAAGTATATTGTAAAATTGATTCTTTTAATGATGATCAGTCCCTATCTCATAGTTCTGGGTCCAGCTGATTGAATAACAATTGTTCTAATCTGTGTCTCAGAAGCAAGCAGTTCTTGCTAAACTTTATATACATACCAATCAATGAGGAGGGAAGGAGAACGACCCTCCCACACATACTTTTCAGACTGGACTTCACCAGGTAGTCCAGGCTGACTTTCAAGTGGTGACCCTAATGCATTAGGCTCCCAAGTGCTGGACTGCATGTGTGCCACTGTGCCAGAACACTGATGGGGTCTTTAATCTTAGGTTTCTTAGATCAGTGAGGACAAAAGGACAGTCAATGGGAGCTGTGTCCGCCTCTGCAGCAGGCCTCACCTGGTACCATTCTGCTGAGCTGCTGGGATCATGCTGTAGTATACGGGCACACCCCCTGCTGGGAGGCCTCCTTGCACAGACTGGCTGGCAGGGACCAGCATGGGCTGCTGGAAAGGTGGCTGGACCACATTTTGTGAGTCACTGCCCACTGGGACCTGGGTAAAGAAGAAATGACTAGGGGTCAGCTTACTGAGCTCACCCACAGGCTGCTCATCAGGAGCCCAGTACAACTTCCCATTTTAGGAGTCTCTTCCAGTGTTCTTCCTCTGCCCAAAGCAAACACCCACAGAGCCATTACAAGCTCTCCCTCTTTCATACATCATCCTCAGATAACAGACACAAGGAGGGAGCCTGGTTCTCCTCTGGACCGTTTCCTGGGCACACAGCCCTTATGTGACTGTATGGAAACCACAGTCTAAAGACTCTTCTCAACTCTCTGGGCTTGCTTTGGAAAGAAAACCACCCTAAAAGTGCTAGGGAAAGACGCTATCTCAGTGTTGGAAACTTAAGTCTGCATGACCCCGGGAGGCTGTCCTCTCTGCTTCACAAGGACGGGGTGACCATTTCTAACACAGAATACACCCACTTGGTAGGAAGGCAGTGGAGTGTACTGAACCACAAGGCCTTGCATCTGGCCTCCCATGCTGCTTCTCTGGTTGCTGAGTAGGCCCTGGTTCTGAGGCTGCTGAACCCCAAGCATGCCTTGGTAAGCCGTCTGCTGCTGGTTAGGCATCATGGGCTGTAAACCTAAGGATGGATAAGGCACAGAAGTCAGTACAAGTGTTTAGGAGGTCACCCCACAGCTCTAACTGCTTTTCCTTCTATATTCTTACCTGACTCCTTCCTTAGAAATCTAGGACTTCCTACTCCCCCCCCCCCCACCTGACTCCCAGGAAGGTCCTTCTCTCCTGGGCTCTGTCCTCCCCTGGGCACCATCTCACACTAGCACTTCTACTCACCAGGCTGCTGGGATGGCTGAGGCAGCTGTTGACCACGCTGGGGGCTATAGGCCACCGGGTGAGAGAGAGGTCGATATTGCTGGTTGGAATTAGGATACTGTCCAGGGGGGTAGTAAGAAACCTGGATCTTCGGTCAGAGGAAATAGATGTAAGAGGTCTCTTTAATCCGGCCATAACATCTGCAAATTACTAAATGCCTCAGGGCTGATAACCAGAAATTTGCAAATAGAGACATTTTGGGTTCACAATTATCAGGTGATTAAACAAGTCTGAACTAAATCAAGACTTGTATCTCTTGAAAGGAGGTCTCTGGTAGAACAGGGACTGTCCAAAGTGAACAGTGGGGCTAGAAGTCTTTCTGGTCTGTCTAAACCAGAGGAAGAAAGAGCTGAAATCCTCGACAAACTGGAGCACTGACTAGGAGCTGAGGAAAGGGCTGCTTACCTGCTGTGGGGGTTGCATGTAGCCTTGGGGTGGCAGGACTTGCTGAGTAGGTGGTGCATGGCTAGAGGTGGAGTAGTTAGAACTAGGGAGGGGCTGCCCTGCAGAAGCCATGATGAAGCTAGCTTGCTGAGGATGTTGGGAAATAAGCGGGGGCTGGAACAGAGCTGAGGACGGGTCAGCTGCTTCAGTAGAACCTTGGCGGCTAAGGCTCATTTGTCCAAATGGGTTGCTGAGGTCATCTGCCTGTTGGGAGAGTAGGAGACTCAAGGACTGAGGCTGTGCCAAGCCTTATGCATTTGGCTTCAATACAGAAAGAGACAGAGCTGGGTGTGCTGGTACACACCTGGGAGGTGGAGGATGGAGGATCATCAGTTTAAGATGAGCTTCAGCTACACACTAAGTTCTAGGCTAGTCTTGGCTACACAGGCCTTGTCTCAAATATTAATAACTAAAACCAAGACTAGAACGACAGAAATAGCAATGTTCTAAAGCAGCGGTTCATCCTTTAACACAGTTCCTCAGGCTGTAGTGACCTCCAATCATAAAATTATTTTGTTGCTACTTCATAACTGTAATTTGCTACTGTTATGAATCATAATGTAAATATCCATGTTTTCTGATGGTCTTCAGGGAAAGGGTCGATGGACCCCCAGGGGGTCATGCCCCACAGGTGGAGAGCTGCTGCTCTACAGCATTCCTTAGACCATTTGGGACAGTCCTGCTTCTGAGAAGTGGTATTTTAACAGCTGAATAGCTGTGTAAAGTCCAAGTTCAGAAACAGCATCTCTAGAGAATGGTGACAAGGGCTTTCCTGATGACGACTATTATTAAGGCTGTTTCTCAGGCGAGGGAAGCAAAGGGTACAAATTCTACCTACCTAAAGGAATACAGGACAAACAAGAATCTTTCTGTTTCCTGCATTCCTCATGCTCCTAGCTATAAAAAGGGCTCCTGCCTTGCTATAAATCCCGTTTTTATACAACCATCTGGAAACACCTGTGGCCGACAGACTATGGCCGCACAGCCAAGAGCTGACTGCTGGGCTCACCCCTGCTGGCTGTCCTCGTGCTCCCTCCCGAGGTCATTCCCACCTTTGTTCTTTGACACCAGCCTAGAGTTCTCCTGCCCTTCAAAACCCACTTCCAATTCTCACCTCCGAAAGGAGGCCAGGGAGAAAGGCCGATCCAGAGGAAGAAACTGACTGGTGGGACTGTAATTACCTTTCTCCCAGCTGTCTTCCCTACGCACAAGTGATGGTGTGCCATCTCGCACTTGCATGGGGACAGGTTAGTTTCTTAGCTCCCTGGTCTGTTCTACTCTCTGAACAGTAATTCACATCCAAACACACATGCACACACATCTCTGAACAGTAATTCACATCCAAACACACATGCACACACATCCCTGAACAGTAATTCACATCCAAACGCATACGCACACACATCAGAGTAGTTCTTTTGCAAAAGAAAATACTAGAAATCAAAAGGAAAGGTTGACCTCTTGCTTTATTCAATTTCAGGAACTGTTGCTATTTCTTGTCAGGAATAGATGACAAGAGAACTAGAATGCAGATGGATTTTAGGTCCACATCCAGCACTTTCAGAATGGGGATAGCGGTAGGAGGAAAAGTGGGGGGGGAGTTCTAGTAAAACAGCAAAGAGGTGTGTGTTACCAATGTAAGTAGAAAAAGTAAGGGCTCAGCACCACCATCAAGTTATCAACTATGAGGCAAATCAGATTTGCAAAGGATTTGCATTCAGGATGCAAACAATTTATTTTATTTTTAATTTATTTATTTTTGGTATTTTTGAGACAGGATATTCATCTAGCCCAGGGTAGACTGGAATTCACTATGTAGCCTAGGCTAGCCTTGCACTAAGGGCAATCCTTCTGTCTTATCCTCGTAAGTGCTGAGATTGAAGGTCTGTACACTACACTCACTTACAAACAGCATAGATGGCATGTATTGTGCATCTGACACAGTGAGACGGGTAAGAGAAGAACAACTCTGTGCAGAAGAAGCGGGGAACAACGAACTGACGGATACATACAGCAGTGATGAGGGCCGAGGTTAGTTACCTTACTTCCTGACACTCGGGGGAGTTCAGCACTCCCCTGTCATATATTTACTTGTCTTTTGGTTGCCATGATGAGGCCATCATTTGGAATTAGGTTCAGCCTGTGCTGGTCCCTCAAGAAATAGCTTTCAACATCTCTTCCAAAAGCACAACATGCTTGCAAGACCACCAGACTGACCCAGACATCCCCACAGATGCAGGCCACACAGGGACAAGACAAAAGGGAGCGTGGAGTTTATACCATGTTGTACTGCTGGGGCGGAGAGACTGGCAGAAGGACTTGGGGACAGGAGCTTGGAGAGAACTGAACAGGCTGCGGAGAGGGCTGCAGGGCCGGGACTGGCTGTGGACCAGCAGAGAGGCATGTGGAGAGGAAAAGAAAGGGACAAAGGGAGAGGCAGAGGGGCAGAAATGGGGGGGGGGGAGGAACAACAGGTTAATCATAGGAGACATTTCACATGGACCACAAGGCCACCGAACAGCTTGGCCACCAAGCCTGGGGTAGCTGGTAGCTTTCACATCTCTCCTATTAGAAGAAGAAACCCAATACACTCTTTGCCCATTAGCCACTCAAACTGTGTGGCTCTTGTGAGAAATCTCAGGACTCTCAAGGCCAAGGTCTGTGACCTAAATGCCCACTTGAGGGATTCCTGTATTCACCGCAGCACTGCTTTTGTAGGAAGGGTCATCCAAAGGCAGGTCTCCTGAAGGAGGGCTCACCCACAGAGACGTTGCCCTCTAGAGGGAAGAAAAGCAATAGACACCCAGCAGATTCTGGAACTTAGCCAGTTCCTGCAGGTTGTGAGGACAGTATGAACAAATGGGGTAAACTCAGGGTCAAATATAACCAGATTAGCTGTGTTTTTATCCCCAGCCCTTCACTTGCTTCAGGCAGGAGAATCTGTTTACTGAAAACATGCAGTATTCTAAATCAACTAATTATATTTTCCTCACTTGAATTATCTCATCAATTCTCCAGTCACAGTCTCCCATACAGGAGGAAGAAGAGAAGAGAGGTAAGAAAAAAAAGGGACATAACATTTACACTCTGTTTCATGACAGCCTTACAAAAATATCTAGATATGATAGCTTGTAATTCCGACAATAAAAATAAAGGTCAACCTGGGAATGTAGCTAAGTAGAGTGTTTGCTGGAAGTGCAAGGCTCTTGGTTCAACCCTAAGCAACAGTCCCCATCCCCTAAAAATAAGGCTCAGAGGATTTGAATATCTCACCTTAGATCATACAGCTAAATGACAGAATATGGCTTGAATTCCCGGTTCTTTTCTTTTTTCTTTTCTTTTCCTTTCTTTTCTTTCCTTTTCTTTCTTTCTTTCTTTCATTTTATTTTATTTTTTTTTTGGTGACGGGTTTTTCTGTGTGGCCCTGGCTGTATTGGAACTCACAGAGATCCACCTGCCTCTGCCTCCCAAGTGCTGGGATCAAAGGAATGCACCATGACCACCATGCTGAAATCCAGTTCTTCAGGACATGTGCTCACACCAGTCTATACTAAGAGTGTGGAGAGGGATGAAGGGAAGGGAATTATAAGACTCCCCAAAGGGAACTGGAATCCTTAGAGGATTTGACATCGGGATTTTTAAAAAGTTACTGAGAGTCCCAAATGCCCTGGAGAGGAATGTTGCCACAGCCTGAACTCCTGACAGTCCTTGTTTTCTATAGGCCAACGGCATTCTAAATCTAACTGCTGGCCAAGCTGCCAAGAGTCAGCTACAAATGCTGGGGTTTTTAATCTCCATTTGCTATTGTCCTCCCCCTCCTGGGAGGAGTTTACCTTGGCTCAGGCCTTATGAACTCTTGTTTTCCACACTCTTGTGAGTTTTAAATGGAGACTGAAACTGGGAATGGTGGTCCACACCTTAATCCCAGCACTCGGGCAGAGATAGGTGGATCTCTGAGAGTTGGAGGCCAGTCAGGCTTACACAGGGAGTTCCAGGACAGTCAGGAGTACATAATAAAGATACTGGAGTGGAGGGGGAGAAGAGAGAAGGGGGGTGGGGAGGATGGAGCTCTTCTGGTTCCCTTAGCTAGGAAGCGTAAAGAGAGTAACGGATGTTTCGCCTGCATGCGTACCTGTGTACCACTTGTGTCCCTAACACCCACCGAGACAGAAGAGGCTACTTGTTCCCCTGGAACCAGAACTGCAGATGCTAGAAATGAACCTGTAAGAACAGCCAGTGAGCCAGTGCTGTTTGCTGCTGAACCACCTCTCCAGATACTGCACTGATTTTGTTTGTTTGTTTAGTTTGGCTTTTATTTTTTGTTGTTATTCTACTATTATCTTCTTGGACAGTCTCAAATTCCAGAACAAGGACATCTCTGAGAGAGCACAAGGACATCCGTTGCCACCTACTGGTGATTCTGGGATATGTGAACAGACTCTAGCCACAGGGCTAAAGGGACTCTGTGCAATACTCACTTCATCCTAAATCAACAGAACAAAACATGGCCACATGAGATGCAGGTCTGCTCACACAGGCCCTAGGCCTCAGCAAACAAAGCAAAGCAAAAGAGCCTCTTCTAGGCACTTTCTCAGAGTTCTCTAAAAGGTTCAGAACACAGTGGCAAAGCATTCCACTTCCTTCATTTCTGGATCATTACATTATCCGAGGAACCAAACAAGAATTACTTTTGTGCAATTTCTCAGTCCTATAGTGCTGACAGTCATTAGGACAACACAAAAAAAAGGAAACAGGAAGGAAGGGAGAAAGGAAACAAGGAAAGGGCCTCAGGTGTGAAGTCTGGTACCACAGAAAAAAGAGGGAGAGAACCAGTAAGAAGAAGGAAGGATAGATAGAAGGTAAAAGGCGTGTGTGTGGGAAACAAATGTTAGCTGGCGGTATAAGTTTAGTAGCTATCATACACGCTTCTAGGACACTGCAACTTACCCAGGGTAAGATTCTCTTGGGATTGTGTGACCAGGATTAATCTCAAGAGTACCATTTTGAGAGAATACAAACTTAATCCCCAACCTACACCACCTGATCTCCACTGCACGCCAACAACTCATCCACTGACCTGCAGAATCCAGAGCAGGGGAGGACTCGCGTACAAGTTTGGGGTTAGAGCCTACCACTGGCTATTTCCTCTAAAACATCAGTCCCAATGGTCATTTTTCTATCTCCTTATCCCTTCTCCATTCTTGCTGTGTTTTTAGGTGTGGATAGCAGGTACAAGGAAAAGACAAAAGACTAAGAGAGAAAAAGGGAGCAAAACTGTATTAAAATACACTTCAGGAAAAAAAAAAACCGAAACAAGCTGGGACCTTAGCAAGTGAAATAAAACAGCAATAGGAGGTGGCTGGAGGGAGCAAGTTTACCCATTTCCAGGCAGAGCGGGGGACCTATACACATGCCATGCCTGAGTGGGGACCTAAGCTAACAAGACGATGTCCTGGGGCAGATGGTGGGTCATCCTGGGATCTTCCCAACTGATTTTCCAGGGCATGGCTACTAGGCTGGAACTGACTTTTGCATCTAGAGAGGAGCTATGCTGGACTGCACAGGGAGATGAAAGATGCTGGCAGTACAAGAACAACTGAAAATGGTTGCAGAGAATTATAGACAAATGGGCTTCTGCCTACCAGAGAACGCCTGAGGACAAAACATGGACTCTAGTCATGAACAACTGTTTATAAGACAGCAAGTGGCTACTCAGAATATTTCTCATTCTTTCTAGGCAGGGCAGCTCCATGACGAATATTAAGATCTCAGCTGAGAGAAGACCTAGCTCTTATGTGGACGGCTTTCATGTCTCAAACCCTGATTAACACCAACATCAACCAGAGTTTTACTATGTAGCTTTGTCTGCCCTAGAACTCACTACCAGGCAAGTCTTGAATGCATTGAGATTCAACTGCCTCTACCTCCTAAGCTCTGGGATTAAAGGTGTGAGCTGCCCCTCCTGATAAAGAAGATATGGCTGTTTTAATGGCAAGTCAAATAGACAAGTCTGTAAGCAAGGTCTTACTCTGCAGCTCGTGCTAACCTCAAGCTCACTATGTAGCCTCGCTATCTTCAAGCCTTGATCCTCCTACCTCAGCTTCCCACATGTGGCATGTCACCTGACTGGTCTTTTATATATTATGGTATTATGCTGTAGATCCTGAGTGTTATTCTTGCCCCTGAACCAACAAATAAGTATGTGTTTATGGATCGACCTATGGATCAGTCAACCTACGGGGTGGAAGGAGAGCTGAGTGCTTTTTAAGTTTCATATGTAGGCAATAGTGAACAAAATTACTTTGTTAACTACACAGGATTTTAAAGATTACAGTAGAAACACGGTGTGGAGTATAAAATTTAACAATCCTCAGTAAAAAACAGGGAAAAACTGCCAGGCACACACCTTTGGAATTTCCATACTCAAGAGGCAGAGGCTGATGAACTTCTCATTTACATAACAAGTTCCAGGCCAGGCAGGGCTGCACAGAGACCCAATGTCTAAGAGAGAGGAGGAAATCGCAATGGAGCTCTCAGGCTAGCCCAGCGCACGGTATAGTCTGTAATCCCTACACCTGGGAAGTGGAGGCTGATGTAGGCTTCATGACAGCTGTCTCAACAGAACAAAGCAACAAAACTTTGGCCAAACACGTGACCTTATTCTTTTCTCCCAGCACCTAACAAATAATAAATGAAGGCAGGAGCAGAACACTTCTGACAAGAGACATGATGACCTCATTTCTAGAGCTTCCTTGAATCAGAGCAAAGGGGGCCTGTGACTCACCTGTGAAATCATGTGATTATTCAGGGGAGGCTGTTGCTGAGGAGTGGGTGGGAGAGCAGGAAGTTGCTGCTGCTGTTGCTGCTGTTGCTGCTGTTGTTGCTGCTGGGCAGGACAAGGGAGAAGGCCCCGGACAGACTGGGGTGAGGTGGCCTGGTTGCACACTTCTGGGGCACCTAGTGCCATACCTAAGGCAAAGAAGAGACCCACCCAAAGTTGTAAAAGTACAAACCACAAATATAACTACTCCTGAAGGGCCCAGCTTCAGAATTTTACTTTTTCCTTGCCCTTACTGTCACTTCCTTCTACCCATGCTCCACGTTTATCCAGAGATCAATGCAAGGGTACAGATGTATTGCAGTTTCTCTGCTGACAGGCATCCACCTCTTAGCAGATTTCTGCTTCCTAAAGTCAGGAACCACCTTGAATGTCAATGTCTGGTTTAGGAATTAAACAAAATGTTCTACGGGGAGAGGCAGGTAGAATCTGAGGACTGCCTAGTTTATATAGTAAGTTCAGGATAGTCAGGGTACATAGAAAGACCTGTCTCAAAACAAACAAACAAAAAAACAAAACTCCCCACAAATGAGAAGCTGTTGAGGCATCTCCCTGATGTGTCTAAAATCAATCTGTGTGTCACAATGTAGCTGAAAATAGAAAGCTTCAGAGATTCCTGGTCCCTTATGGGACTCTGTGTTCTCCTCACTTTCTCCTCAACTTGTATAACACTATTCTTATAAAAGCTGATGAGACAGCAACTTGTTTCTTCAAGCATCCATAATCACACATATATACAACCTTTACCCAACAAATTTTCCCATTTCTAGACTAAGGCTTTTGCATATTCACACATCTATTTATTTTAAGGTGCCACTGTTTTTGATGTTTTATTTATTTTTATTTTATGTGCATTAATGTTGAGTTCCCTGGAACTGGAGCTACAGACAGGTGTGAGCAGCCATGTGAACTTGAACCCTCTGGAAGAGCAAGTCTTAACTACTGAACCACCTCTTCAGCCCCCAATACATTTTCTTAAATAAAGAGAAATAAATGTTTGCTCTGGCTCAACATACAACATACTTTTACTGAATACATATTATATATGAGGAATTATGTAATGAACTAAGGATATGAACCTTGGCCTTTTGAAAAGCACAGGATTTCCTGATGGGATACATATCCAACTATTAAAATTTGATAAAAGCTGGGCAGCGGCAGTGCAAACCTTTAATCCAGCACCTGGAAGGCAGAAGCAGGCAGATCTTTGTTGAGTTTGAGGCCAGCCTGGTCCACAGTGCAAGTTCTAGGACAGCTAGGGCTGTTACACAGAGAAACCAGCTCAGAAAACACATAAAAAAAAATCTGGTAAGAAAAAAGAATTGGTGGTACTGTCCCTAAAGTTGAGTGACAGCAAAGATGAGGAATGAGGAATTCCTCAGAGGGCCAAGGAAGAGAAGGTGAGAGAAGAGGTGCACTTAGGGGATGACTAATGTCTATCAGAATCAGAGAGGACAAAGCTAATGTCACACTCAAGAAATGGCTGGAGAAAGATGGACATTTGAAGCTACAATGGCAAACTAACAAGTTATGCTTTATTAACTAGCTTGAAATTTGTTATTATGTTTTAAAACAATTTATTTAGTACATCTACAGTGTTCTGTCTACATGTATACCTGCACACCAGAAGAGGGCGCCAGATGTCATTACAGATGGTTATGAGTTACCATGTGGTTGCTGGGAATTGAACTCAGGACCTCTGGAAGAGCAGCCAGTGTTCTTAACCTCCAAGCCATGTCTCCAGTCCTATTGTTTTCTTTTTGAAACAGTATCTCACTATGTACTTCTGGCTGGCCTGCATTCACTGTATAAACCAGGCTGGCCTTGAACTCATAGAGGACCTCCCCTTCCTCAGCCACCCAGGTTGCCACCATGCCTTGTTTTTTGTGCAGGCAATGTAGAAACATGAACTTCATGTGTGCCTGTGTCCATGGTCTGCAGAAGGTGCTACTTCAGAACCACTCACCCTGTTTCATGGATTTGTTTATTGAGCTAGGCTGGTTGGTCAGTGAGCCTGGAAAATCTTCCAGTCTTTACCTTTCCAGTGCTGAGATTGTAAGTATACACCTTCATGCTTAGCTTTTTTGTTTGTTTGTTTGTTTGTTTTGAGACAGGGTTTCTCTGTGTAATGCCCTGAAACTTACTCTGCAGACCAGGTTGGCCTTGAACTCACAGAGATGTGCTTGCCTCTGCCACCTGATGGCTAAAATTAAAGGCGTGCACCACCACACCCAGTGTGTTTTTTAAAAAATAATTTTATTTTATGTATATGACTACTTTGCCTGCCTAGTATGTATGTATGTATGTATGTATGTATGTATGTATGTGTAGTACATTCATGCCTGGTGCTCACAGAGGCTGAAAGAGGGCATCTGATACCCAGGACTGGAATCATAGATATTTGTTAGCACCAGGGTGCTGGGAATCAAACCCAGGTACTATGGAACTTTGCCCTGAGCTAATGATCTATATCAGTTGGATAACATAAAATAATCGAGTTCCAACTAGTCTTTCTTCCCTCCTTCCTAAAAATGAACAGAATCTGAAAGAAAATCAAGAGGCAACTAGATTTAAGAATGGATAACAGATCCAAAAAATCAGATTCTTCCTCCTCCTCTTCTGCAAATATTTTAAGTTTCTAGGAAACTATACTGAACTAGATGTGTCATCAAAAATGAGTTATTAATACTTTGCAAAAGACCAGCAAGAAGGGCAAGTGTGACAAAGGGAGAAGCTGCAGTACCTGGCCTAGAGATCCTGCCTGCACTGCCACCTTTACTGCTGTCACCTCGGGTAAGGATGGAGATCCCACTGAAGCTGCTGGCTTTGGTGACAGGGGGTCGCATACTCCGGACAGAGCCATCTGAGTCTGTGCTGCTCCAAGGTCGTGGCTCCAGAGATTTGAGTTCGCTGTCTGTGCTACTCTGTCGGCTGCTTGAGGTGCGGCTCAGCCCTTCACGGTTCCCCCTGCAGAAACCACAGTAGTTAGAGTACCCCCCTCCCCCCACTTCAGCAGAAGAGCCAAGAGAGTTCTTGTTTTTCTTTTTCTTTTTTTTTTTTTTTAATTCTTTCACTAACCAAGAAGGGGAACGTCTTGTTAGTTGGGTGACCAACTAAGATTAGATGAGGGCAGACAGAACAATGTCCGTACAGTAACAAATTTGGAAGACAGTGAGTGCACCGACAGCTAATTCAAGGCAGAGGGGAACCACAAATGCAGGACTGAGACTGATTGTGGTCTCTCTCTTTCCCACACCTGCAGGGATCTCACACATGCAAGGAACAGAGAGCAGCAAAGGGGTAGTAGCGACTTCTGGGACTCCTAGAAGATACTGTTGGTAGAAGGTAGGAGTAGCCAGGGACATGGGTAAATCCCACAAAAGGTCTTCCACATAGCATGCACCTGAGCCAGCAGAGGTACTGGGTATGAACATCTTTCCTGGTGTTGGAAGATGACAGTGTAGTATGACTGTTGTTTCCTTAAGTTCCGTGCTGGTCTATTAGGACAACAGAGTCCACAGCCGCTGAGGACTGGAGTCCGGTGCTAGCCCTCTGCTCTTGTGTGCTATAAGGTGTGTTTGTGTGTGTATACGCAGGCCCCCACACATGTGAATGGAGGCCAGAAGTAGACACCAGGAATCTTTCTAAAGTGTTTTATACATTTTATTCATTTGTTTTGTGTACATGTATGAATGTATGTCAGAGGACAACTTGCAGGTGTGGTTCTCCTCTTCCACCATGTGGATCCCAGGAACCACACTCCAGCTGTGGGGCTTGGTGGCAGGCATCTTTACTTGCTGGGTCATCTCGCCAGCCTTCCATCTTTTTTTTTTTTTTTTTTTTTTTTTTTGAGAGAGTGGTTCTTACTGAATCAATTAGGCTGCTGGCCTAATTGAGCTCCATGGATGCTCTTGTCTTTGCCTCCACCCCCATTCCTACATTCCTAGGAGAGGGGTTATAGATGATCTACCACGTCATTCAGTTCTTCATGGATGTTGGGGATCTGAATTCAGATCTTCATGATTGTGCAGAAGCTTTACAGATCAAGCCATTTCCTCAGTCCTTCCACTGTGCACTCAGTGCTTCTTACTAAAAGCAAGAGTCCACAAGTCCCTTCATTTTACTTTCACTTAACAACTACTACCTAAGGTGACCAAATGACAATAATAAAGATTTTGGTATATATATTGGTGAATAACTTGGCAAAATCATAGTAGTGTGGGTTCCCTCCTTTTTACCATTATCCCACCAGATACAAATAGAAAATATTACTCAAATCACCTTAGTTTCAAATGCCCTTTGCCTCAGTTATTCTGAGAACTAGCTGACTTGAAACTTGAAATTCTATTGCCTCTGTTACACAAGTGCTGTCTTACTGTAGGTATGTGCCATGAGAGGCTTATGGTTCTTTTTTTTTTTTAAAGATCTATTTATTATGTATACAACATTTCTTCCATGTATGCTTGCATGCCAGAAGAAGACACCAGATCTCATTATAGATGGCCGTGAGCCACCATGTGGTTGCTGGGGATTGAACTCAGGACCTCTGGAAGAGCAGTCAGTGTTCCTAACCTCTGAGCCATCTCTCCAGTCCCCTTATGGTCCTTTTCTAGTTTCTATTAGCCATGCTGCCCATGGAGAGCTAAGAATATACTGACACAACAGATCAGGAATATGCCAATTCTTATTTCCTACTCTAAATATATATAATCTCATGCTTCTCTCTATATAGTCAGAATAAGGGACTGTAACATATTCCTGTTTTCTCCAAAACATGACCTTTTTTTCTTCAGATGCTAAGAGCAAAAAGGGAACACAAACCAGAGATTATTCACAAACAGATGTGAAGCAAGGGCCAGGAGACTGAAGGCAACGACATGTGGCTGTGGGTAACAGCAGTGCCAGTGGGTGAGGCTGCTCCTTAGACACTGGAGCATGAATTATGTTGGCTTTCTTCAATTAAAACATTCTATTATGTATTAGGATAACTCTGTCTTTTACGTTCTCATTCTTGATGCCTAAGGTAGACAGCAAATGAGGTAACCTTAAACTAAGTACTTTAGAGAGTTATGGTTGAAGCTGTAGTGCTTCTCTACCTAACCAGGTTCCCCACGGCAGAGAGGGTCAAATGCTCAACGTGTGGACTGTCTGCTAACCTTTATACAGTGTCCCTTGAGAGAGGAGCTAGAGAGAAAGCAGATCAGTCTCCTTCTGTATAAACAATCATTTCACTAAAAATATGGCAATTCTGGGAATGGAATGGGTTGTCTGCAAGTTAGAGGATGTGGTAGGGAATAAAAATGCTCACACATCATGCTCTCTTAATAAAGCAGAGCGAATGCAGGCTAGCTCGGCCTAACTGCTGTCACTGTTTCAAGATGGGGTATATACACTGCCCAAGCAGGCCTCAAACCTGGTGTTAGCCAAGGGTGACCTTGCACTTTTTATCCTCTTGTTTCTACTTTCTCGTGCAGGGATTAGAGGTGTGCACTGCTGTTCCCACTCTCACGTGGTGCTGGTGACTGAACCCAGGTCCTCTGTACACTAGGTAAGTTCTCTATCAGGTATATTATCAGCCCTAACCTAGGTTAAAAAAAAAAAACTGTTCTTAAACCTTTACATCTTCTTCTAACTTATTCATTTTTATGAGGTAGGGTCTCACTGTAGCCCTGGCTGTTCTAGAACTTGCTATGTAGACCATGTTGGCCCTGGAACTCATAATGATCCTCCTGACTCCACCTCCTCCCAAGTGCTAGGATCCAAAGTGTGTGCTACTATATTCAGTTGTTTATTTTTAAAAAGGTTTTTTTTTTTGATTAGGTGGATATATGGGTGTCAGTGGGAGGTGTGTGCATGCAATGCAGGTGCCCATGGAGACAGAAGAAGGTGCCAGAGCCCTATATTCCTAGAATTACAGGCAGTTGTGAGCCACTTGATGTGAGTGCTGGGAACTGAACTCAGGGCCCTCTGCAAGATCAGTATGTACTCTTAACTGCTGAGCCATTTCCTTAGCCCCTATTTTATTTAACTGTTATTTTTTTTTAACATTTATTTATTTGTGTGTGTACGTAAATGCCAGAAGACAACCCACACACAGGAGTTGATTTTTTTCCTTCTGCCGTGTGAATCGTGGAGGTTGAACTCACGTCATCAGGGTTGTCAGTAGCTGCATTTACTTGCTGAGTTATCTCACTGGTCTTTACCTAGGTCTTCAATCAAAACTCAGTTTCATTTCTCAGCTTGAAGCAAAGCTCTGGAGAGGTGAGGTCTGCAGCTGCTCAGTAAACTCTTGAGCTATTTATCTGTACACTTGGGTACCGCCTAATGCTCACAGGAGAGCACCAATCTTAGGGCGAGTGTGAATTAGGGCTTCAAATAAAACACAGGCTGAGAGGAAGAAGAGATGTTAGTAAAGAGCTGGTGTGGTACAATAAAAAGAATACTGAACAAAAATCAGCCTCAGTTTTGACACTTACAGCCAAGTAAATTAGAGCTGGTGAGTTTGTCTTTATGCTTTTGTTTCCTTTGATGGAAACCAATTGGCCAGGTCAAGATATTGAGAGAGCCAGACTAGATAAGATTAAGATACACTTTGGCTACTAGAAAGCACTGTTCACACATAAGAGTTAAGACTATTATAGGCACTCTGGGATGATTAAGACCACAAAGTGTATACTACCAAGCAGAATTTTAATTTTTTTAAATTTGAGAACTCTACTTATCTTAGGTCCCATTAACAATGCAAAGCTCACTCTGCGTCTGGTTGTCAGATGGACCTCAGGGTGGTACTATCCAGAAATAGAAAAGATCAGAGAGGCTGGAGAGATGCTCAGTGGTTAAGAGCACTGGTTGCTCTCACAAAGGACCTGGGTTTGATTCCCAGGACTCGGTGGTCTCACAACTGTCTGTAACTTTTTTCAGGGGAATCCGATGCCCTCTTCTGGCCTCTGTAGGCACTGCATGTACATGGTGCATAGACACACATGCATGCAAAATACCCATACACATAAAATAAATCCTTTAAAAAAAAGTTCAAAAATATGGAAATTCTTTATCTCAAGGGTGGGAAACTTCATTGTCTCAATCTCTTTTTCCTCCTCTTCTTTTTAAGATTATTTTTATTTATGTGTATGTGTGTGTGTCTTTGTGTATGTATAGGTACACATGAATGAAGTACCTGTGGAGACCAGAGGGCATCCAGTCCCTTGGAGACGAAGCTACAGGTGCTTGGGAGTCCCCTGATATGAGTGCTGGGAAAGGACTTCAGGTCTCTGTCACACACTGGCAACCACTGAGCATCTCAGCTTAACTAACTTTAGACACGCCAATAAGGAAAGCACAACTAAAGCTTCAAAAATGAGACATATTCTGAGCTTCCTTTGATACTTAGGATTTAAATATGGAGAAGTCCTTTGGCAAGAGTTAGTAATGAGTTACAGAGTCAGATACCTATCTTTTCTGCAGTCATCTTCTGCTTAATATTGTCTCAAAGAGAAAATTACATAAAGAGACATCCACATATGTATTTGTATATGTGCATATATTATCTTTCCAGAGATAAAACTACTCCCTGGTGCAGGTTCAGATAGCAGCTGTCCACACCTTCCCCTAGATGAGCAAAGGGGGTCAGCAGACACTTGTTCTTTTACCTTACAATAGGTGTATGTCGGAATCTTTTTAAAATGTCCAATTTCAGCCAATCTGTGGGAGGCTATGGTACCTACCTGTCTCAGACACAACTAGCTGTCCCCAGCACCACCTCTCAGGGCTCAATGAAGCTGACAACAGTAAAGTCACTGAAAAGAAGCCTTTCCCCCAAGGGAACAAGTATAGCAAAATCCACAAATTTAATTATTCTACAAGCAGCCATGCATGGAGCGAAACCACTCACTCCACTGAAAAGATTACAGCAAAACAAAATTAAAATTAAAAGGAAGAGATATAGATCACACACAGGTACCTAAAAATCTGCCTTCTCTTGTGAGAGCTAGAAGAAAAGGCTTCTTTGGAGAGTCTGTTGGTTAACATCAAAAACAAAACAAACAAAACAAAAGTAGTATCATTATAGGATTCTCTGAACCCCACTAACAAAGCTGAGCGATAGGAGAGAACATGTGAATGGTACTAACCTGATATCACTTAGATATCCGTTCTGGCCAGTCTAGGTGAGGGAGAAAATGGAAAATAACTCATAAGAAAATAATAAGGCATAACAGAAAAGGATGTCCATGATGCTATCAATACCCAACGATCTTCAAACCAAAGCTCTCACCCCACCAACAGGGAGAGAGGGAGCAAGGCTAGGGTAACTGACTGCCTTACCCGAGCCTGACTCCTCACCTTTCCTGTGAAAACACTTGGCATTTTTAGCTTTTCCACAGTGTTTAAAATGAGGGTTGATAAAGGGAGCATGGAGAGGAGGAAGGGGAAAGTTACAAACCTAATTATTTCCTTTTTTTTAAACCTCAATTAGTGAACTGACTGTAATAATCAACATACTGTATTTTAAGAATGTTCAAAGGAAGGGAGACATGAGAAGGAAACTTCATTTTTTTAGAAATTAATCTCAGTGGCTGTTCTCTTTCTGCCCTTTTCATTTGCCCAAAATAAAAGGCTCTGTGACTTGAGCCCCATTATGGGTGAGATAGTGGGGCAGCAGATACCGTTTAGAGCCTGGAAAAAATGAGGGCATTAGAAGTCTGAAGCCATCCCACCGAGATCACTTTTTCTGATAAAGCCACTGAGCTGAGTGAGGTGAGCAGCGGGGTGGACTTCCAAACCTTCGAAAAAGGCACCAAGAGCATCCAGCTGTTGAGCGTGTGGGCTCCGCACAGAGCAGAGACTCCTCCATTGGGCAGCTTTCCCAAGACACAGCTCAGGCTCTAGAGAAGGCTGCAGCAGCAGCATTTCCATCCGAACACCCTTCTTGGCACTTCCCGTTCTGGGCCTGCCTCCTTGTCCTCACTCTACCCTCAATCACGCCCCTCTGACTGGGCGGGTTCCTCTCCACATGGAATCTTTGGAGGATGGTGGGCTTTGGCCATTTCTCCTCCTCTAGATCTTCTGAGATTCGAGGCCTCTACTACAAGAGCTAGGAAGTACTGAAATGAAAGTGATAAACCCACGAGGATTTAACAAAGAATACATGTGTTAGCAGAGGCTTGAGCAACTAGAAATCAGGAGGGAAAAGGAGAGAAGAGCTAACTCTGCCTTCCTTATGGCTATAGGCAGATGTGGTCCACTGTGGTTGATAAGTAGCCCCAATGTCCTAAAAAAGTTGTCTATGCTTTCAGATCAAAGGGTTTTGCAAAAAGCTTGACACAGTGAGGCAGCCATTTCCCATGTGTCAGTGAGGATACAGACAGCTAGGCTGTCATTGCTGGCACTTCTGAAGACCCCAGAGTAGAGTGAGCTAGAAAGAGATAGCTCCTATTAGGTTATGAACACGGACTCTGGAGCCAGATTGTCTAACTAGCAATGTTTAAGAGGCTGTTACCAAACCTCTCTGTGTTTTATTTGTAAAGTAAGAAAAATATTTAAAATAATAGACCTATTGTGAAGATATGAATTCACCTATATAAAATGCTAAGAATAGTGCCTAAAAGCTAATGCTTACTACGTAAGTATTTCTATTCACAATTTAGGGTCATCCTGATCATAACCATGACATCTCTCATTCCACCCATATGGTTTGCAGGGATACTTTGGAGGACAGACTTTTCTGTCTGTCAGAATGGAAGTCTACATAATAGAAGGTAAGAAGTTGCTTCATGAATTCTAGGCCAGAAAGCTTGTTGTGTGTCACTTTCTAGGAAGGATTCATAAAAGTACTTGGCTCTCTCTAGATAATGGATCAAACACACGGGAGTTCAGGATTTAGTTGGAGACGATACTTTTCTGAGTGAGGTGATGATGAAAAGACACACACATGTTGTTTTGTGTGTGTTTGTGTGTGATATAAAAATGGGAGGGGTGTCTTGATGAGAGAAGAAGACAGAGGAGTGGGAGGAAATAGTGTCCGTCCACATGACTTAACTTCCTTTGTTGCTACTCTGACAGTAAGATGTTTTCCTATCTGGATCCACATGTTCTGGAGATCTGTTTACCTGCTGCTCAACTAATCCCTTTCCTGAAACAATGCTATACATCTCTTAGACTAACAGGCAAAGGTAACCAGATACAGGGGTAACAAGTGCATCTGAAATGGCCCATGTTCTTAAAAACAAAGCTATCTAGACTCGGTGATGCTGCCTTTTGGACTATGGAGCCATTCGCTTTCTAGGAACAAGGTAAGAAATAAAGGAAGAAGGAGACTCCCCATTCAAGCAGTACCTGAGGGAACAGGAGTACCCTGTGCATGGGGATGTGGGGCCTGTAGAGGATGACGCCAGAACAGCACTTTAATAAAGCATCAGCACAGCCTAGAAACAAGCTGGCTAAACAAGATGGGTGTTGAGCCTGTATGGATGCTGAGTCTTCTACTGAGAAACAAAGATGCGCAGAACAGACAATGGGAATCTACAAGGCAAGCTGGAGGAGGCCCTGATAGCCAAGACTTAGGCCCTTTCATCATCAGCTCTTCTAAAGGCGTTTCTCTTTCCGGTCTAGTTATATTTACCAAATTCAGCCACTCCAAGTTTCGGTTCTCTTTGTATACCATACAGCAAAATGTATTCCAAAACACAAATAAAAACCTGTAGCTTCCCAATAAGCCACTCTCAGGGTTAGAGGTCAAATCTGGGACTGACTGATGTTGGTTAAAAAAAAAAAGAAAAAAAAAAGAAAAAGGAAAAGAAATACAAAGAGCCAACAACATTTATGGTGGGTTCATCCCATTCACAGTTCCAAGGTTAGAGCTAAGAGCTAGGATCTGACAACTCTCAGAAGCTACACTTACCTCTCGGGCAAATATTCTCTCTCGGACCCTTTGATATTCCTCCTCTCTCTCTTCTATTGACTTGCTCCTCCTTCCATCCTGCAATGGAACTCTGATCTAGATCGATGAGCAGAATTAAGCTAGTTAAGTTCTCCTCGTACTGCAAGCTCACTGCACACCAGCAAGGAAGAGAAACCGGGAAAGTTTATAGTTGCCATCAAAAAAATGGAAAATAAAGAAATGAAATTTCCAGTCCTGAACAGGTTTCACTGGGTACATCTGACCATGCAGTTTGGGAGATCAGCTTTTCTGGATGGCAGAGGACTTGCCCTGCCCCACCCACCCCACATACCAAGAACAACAACTATTTATAAGGGTTGGGCTGCTTCCCTGGAGTACTGTTCAGTCAGTAAAGATGAAGACAACAGCCCTGGGGAAATCAACAACCGTTCTTTAGAGGGCAAGTAAGGGAAAGAAGGAAGCTGAAGAGGGCAAAGAAATAAGTGTTAAGCAAAGCCGAATGTAGAGGAGGTTCACAGAACTAACACTCAATAGGACCCCTTCTTTTGTCCCTAATGCCATGTCCTAGCAACCCAAGTCAAACATGACTTAGCAAAGAGGGTCTTAGACATTAAATCTCAGGGGTGAAGCTAATCTCAAAGACTACACATTTTTGTCACCTTAATTATAGCAATTGAAGGGAGTTGAGGAGACAGAAATTACAGAAACAAAAGAACAAAGAGAACAGAGCAACACAGAAGAGAAGGAGAACAAAACGGAAAGAAATGAGCAGAGAAAGGAGCAGATTAATGAGTACAGTGAGAAGAGAGGAGAGGAGTCACATAGGGTACAGAAGGAAATGGAGCACACAGACAGTGAGGTGAGCAACAGGAATGTCTCATGGGCAGATGACCACTTCCAGCCATCACCTTGCTTCCCAGCACTGCTTCTCCTCTTGTGAACCCTGTGGGGGGTGGGGGGTGTAGAGAGAATCCTTTGCTACAGTGACTGCAAAAGCAAGGTGTTCTGAGAGGGAACTCACAGAGCCAATGTCAGCACACCACAGACAGCTCTTACCTGCAGTCAGATCTGAAGCTCTAAGAACCCACTGCTCTAGGCTGATACTCTGTCATTACCAGTTTCCAAAGGCAATTCAAGACTTCAGAAGTCCTCCTCATTCTTTAGACCTATATCCCACTAACCATCTTTCATCAGTTCAATTAAAGGAAGACAGAGACCCTCAACAAACTGCTGAGCCTCTAGCACTGATAAGCCAATGGCAGTAGAAAATATAATGGGGCATCAAGGTAAATCCCAGCTCTGCTGACTCCCAGTACAGTGACTTCAGGCAAGTAACTTAGCATCTCAGACTCAGTATTTTATGTGTAAAGTGGGGTTAATAACCCCATTTACACTGGGTTGTGGAAAGGATCAAAAGAGATAACATATATATATATATATATATATATATATATATTTAAAACAAAGCCCAGCTCAGGGAAAAATAGCAGTATTACGTTTTCACTAATAGCACAGTCAGCAGGCACACAGAACCTACTCTACTACAGACATAGCTTGAAGCTGTGAGACGAGAAGTTCACAACAGAACAGATCACCTTCCATTCCACTGTGCCTCTAGGCCTGAATACTTCCTGGTCCACGGAAAAGGGGTTTTGGGAAAATGTAGAGAAGGGCATCAGGATGGAAAGGCTCTTTCTTGTTTTACAAAAATTTGTCTTTTTGTAGTTTTCTTTGCTTTCAATCAGACCCAGCATGTTTGTCCCCATTAGATACTGACACCTTTCTTAAAGGCCTCCCTTTCATAGTCAAGCAAGCAAGAAAGGTACTGGTCTCAAGACCATGTAATATTTCAAGAAAACAAATTTTGACTCTAGAAGTAAGACATTATTATATAGTTGCTAACCCTTACCAAGACTTGTATTGGCTCTACCCAACCATACTCATCAAATCAATTCCCCTTTGGAGTTCAAGCAGATGCAGGATAACTCTGAACTTTCCATTTAGCTAGGAAAACTAATCCTCGATCATTTGTTATCTCCAGGGGTAGAGGTCATAGCAGCAGCCAGACCCCCCAAAAATGAAGGGATAGGACAGTTTGTTAATTTCTTAGTTCCACAAGAATGTATCACAAAGGGACCTGAGTTTCCAGCACGGAAAGTCAAATTAACTCACCTTGGTAGGAGGTGGGAAAAAGATTAAGGAGTTTGCCAAAGGGATCAGATATATACCTTTATAACTGATTAAATTAGATCATAACTTTGTCAGTTCAAGGCTAGTTCTCAGCTAGATAGCTCTCAATGTAAAGTCTAGGGGTCAAGTGGAGGTGTTGGGGGTGGGAGGAGACAACACTGAAATCAGCTAGATCAAGGCTGTACAAAATGAAATGTGGTCAGAAGTTAAGTGGCAGACCTAAAGAATTGTAGGCCAAATGAGATCACTCAGCAAGCCTGAGCACTGTGTCTCTCTGGGGCTACGAGGGTGGTGTACATACAGCTCAACAACTGTCGTCAGACCCTTGGGTGAGCCAACACCAGATCCAGATAACAGCTCTGTGTATGTTTCCATTCTAACACACTTTCAATTTTCTCCACCCCACAACCCTCCTCCCTTCCCAGTTTCTCTTACTGCAGTCTCTTTAGGCCCACCCTTTCCATTCTTCACCTGGTTATCATCTCGGTCCACACTGGCGTCATCTCTCTTCAGAATGAACCTCTGTTGAAATTCTGTGTTCTTCTCATCTTTTATGTGTTCTGAGAACCTCTGCTCAGGGCTGAAGTGTGGGAAGAAAGGAGAAAAAGACCTTTACGTTAGGAGGAGAGCCCCTAGGCACAGCTCTCTAAATTCCATATCCTCTACTCAGAGGATTTTTGGTGTCAGGAATCCAAAAAAGTCACCCGAAGGTTTAAAAGAGTCTTTGTGTGTAATCTCTTCTCTCCCCCACCATCTTTTTCAGAGACAGCATCTCTGTAATCTGCTCCTGAAGTGCTGATCCGTCTGCCCCCACACCTTTCCTGAGAACCAGGATGGCAGGTGGGCACCACTACATGATGCCCACTCTCTGCATATAACAACGCTTCATTCACAGCTGTGTCTGTCCTGTCCTAATCAGAACCTGTCTCTAAGACCTCACAGAAAGCAGGAATCAACGAAACACCCTTCCCTCCCTGGAGGAGACATCTTTCTAACTTCCACTTCTATCACAGCAGCTGTCCCATGGAAATCTTCCCGGTCCACAGTTTCTCCCTTACATTCTCGTGTTGCTGGTTTTGTTGATGATGACAGCTTTCCCAGTTTGATCAACATTATGGTCCATCCCAAAATAGGCAGCCACCCGGTGTAATAGCATCCGGTGATAGGAGGTCATCTGAGGGAACTTCTTGAACTGGTTACTGAAGGGTACCGGGGATAAAAAGTAAAAGATAACAGGAGAAGGCAACTAATTTTCCTCAACAGTGTCTAGAGTAGATTCTTTTTTCCTGAGACAGGGTTTCTCTGTTTAACAGTCCTAGTTGTCCTGGAACTTGCTTTGTAAACCAGGTTGGCCTCAAACTCACAGAGATCCATCTGCCTCTACCTCCCAAGTGCTGGGATTAAAGACATGCACTACCAGTGTCTGGCCTTTTTTTGTTTTGTTTTGTTTGGAGTAGAGAATTTTTTTTAAAGGAGAAACAGACATACAAAAAAACAGGTATTTAGTTTGTGAGAACAAAAAGTCTTTCTTAGTATTATTCTGCCCCAGTCTTTAGTAACCCTACCCGTTCCCACCCAGGGATGACCTCTCCTAAAGCCCGACTGCCACCACCTGATGCTGTTAGTCAAAGGGAGTGGGAGAAGTGGAGTGAGACTGTGACCATTCAAATTTATATAACTGATAAAAACCTCACCTGCTTTTATACACACGCTGTTTGACCCATTCAGACTGATTCTACCGAAGCAGTACGAGGCTTCTTTCCAGTGTCCCCTCCCACCTCTAAATGCATATTCCAGAAAAGCGACTTACTTGTTGTCATTGATAAACTCCAGAATCTCCTGTTCTAATTTTAGCAGCATCATTCTGTCCCTGTTTAAACAAGATTAAAACAAACAAACAAACAAACAAAAAAGAGTTCTCCCGCAGATATTTAAAAGACTGAAACTCAACTTGTTCATCGCAAAAACCGAGGGGTCTATCCAAACTTTAACAATGGCCATAGCACGGAGGCTGAAGAGCCTCCTTCAACTGCCCAATGTTCTGCAAAGAACACAACTCAAGTACAAGCTTTCTATGTCTTTCCTATCCATGTACTCTGTCATTCACATCAGTAATCTAATTATTAGCAGCATATTAATATAAACACATAATTTGTGCTTGCAAATATAGGCATTATTCTATACCCGACCCAGTTATTCAAGGGTTTAAAACAGTACAAGTCAACTAGCTCACTCCTTTGGGATTTTTAACTAGTGAACACTCAAGTCTTCAAATTTCTTAGTCATTGTACGCTTCTTAAAATTTTTCTCAACTCTTCAAAACACAGAAATCTCAATGTGAGTATTCTGAATCCCTCAAAATATAAAACTATATTTTAGAAGAATTAAGAAAAGATGAACATTCTATATTCTAATAATAGATAAGTGTTGAAAAACTATTTGGCTTGAAAGGGCTCTGCAATCCCTACCCTATCCCTTTCCCCCATCACATCAATCATGTTATTACCTTGGGTTCTTTTTCAGTGTATTTACAAGAAATTCATGTAGATCTATTCCAGTGGAGTCAGTATATTCTTGGCTGGAGTCTAGAACCATCACAACAAAAGAAATTTAAAAGAAATGAAACTGCTTGCACGGTATCTAATTTCAAGTAAAAGCCAATGTCTAAACAGAAATGACAAGAACAGGAAATCAGAATCAAACTTCAAGCTCACAGCATTAAATCTTGAATAATGTTTCCTGCTAGCTCTGTGACAGTTCCTATCATGGACTGGGCTATGAGAAAGCACTTATCTAGTATGTGTAAGGTCCTAGGTTCAATTCCAAGTATTGCAAAAAAGGGGAGAAATAATGGGCTAGGGAAACAGCTCAGTGGACATACTACAAACCCCAACGCCCACATAAGAGTTGGTGCTGGGACAATGAAGACAGGTGAATCTGTGCAACTCACTGGCCAGCCAGTTTGCCTAAGTCAGTTCTAGTTCAGTGTAGAGACTGTTTCAAAATATAAGGTGGAGCGGCTAGTTAGATGGCTCAGTGGTAAAGGTGCTTACTGCCATAGCTAGTAACCTGGATTTGATTCCCAGAACTTAAACAGTGGAAGGAGAGAACTAACTCCTGAAAAGGTGTCCCTAACTTCTACACATACATCACACACACAATTAATAAACACAGAAATGTATAAAAATATTAAAATAAGGTAGAGGGCAATAGAAGGGGACACCTGACTTCAACCTCTGGCTTCTACATACATGAACATGTACACATAAATATGCCTCCCCCCCCAAAAAAAAGCTCCCATTACAACAAAAGAAAGAATGGAAGAATTTGGGCTAGTGTATTACATCAATATTACACTAAAATACTACTTAACATTAATAAACATTTGTCAAGTTTCCTGACCAAAATAAAGCAGGTTTTATTCTACCTACTAAAAACAAATTACAGGTAAGAGCAGTCATAGTTGAATTTTCCAAAATCTCAGGGACTTTGTCCAATATAGATGATTTTTTAAGCCCAAAGTTGCTTGATTTACTTGTTAAATATAATTCTTCAAAACCTGAACAGTGTGTGTCCGCAAGTAGACACGCCAGGCATAGGGACAGAGCACAACTCTTGCACCATCTCCTTTCGCCTCTAGGTGGCCTCCAGGGCTGACCTGCATTGTAAACACTGTTACCCACAGGGCCATTTGCTGTGTCACAAATGTGATGGCTTTTATGGATTCTGTCTTTTTGCTACCACCCCAAAGTTTAAAGCCAGAGTCTACTAAGTAGAAGTATATCTGTATGATAAAACATTTACAGGGTTGGAGGTGTAGCTGGTAAAGGGCTCATTTTAACACATATGAAGCCCTGGGTTTGATCCCGAGCACCACTTAACTTGGAGTATGGTAATCCCAGTACTCAGGAGACTGAGGCAGAAGGATTAGATGTTCAGGCCAGCCCAAATTATTTGAGACCCTGCATCTAAACAAACAAAACACTGCAGCCATCCCCAAACCAACATGAAAAGGTTATCTGGAAGACCGCTATCATGATTATCCATATCATCATCTATCTCAGAGCATCACCAAAACCACAACTGACAACGCTGCCTTATCCTAGGTAGTGTCAATGCTGGCAGAGTATCTCTCTGTTCTATGTAAGAGCTGAGGCAAGTTCATTAAAGGTTAATTAACCTTGTTAATTGCGCCCTCAAGCAACCAAATCAGCAGGAAGCTCTGGGCCAGTAAAACTAGTCGGTGCCAAGGTGTCACAATGAAAAGAAAAAACTGTAGATTTGTAATCCTAGATGCTCAGGAGGTTGAGGCAGGAAAACCCAAGGCCTGCCTGGACTACACACTAAATTCAAAGGAAACTTGGTGAGATTTTGTCTCAAAATAAAAAGTAAAAGACAACTGGAGTTTAGTACAGTGGTGGAGTGCCTGCCCAGCATGCAGAGCCATGAATTCTATCTCTAGCACCACATTACAGCCAGGCATAGTGGCACACACCATAATCCCAGGATCCCGGAAGTAAAGGCAGAGAGATCATAAATTAAAGGTCATCTTCATCCACAGAGCAAGTTATAGGCCAGGCTAAGCTACATGAGACCCTGGCTCAAAATTTAAGAGAGAAGGAGCTGGAGAGAGAGCTCAACAGTAAAGAGCACTGCATGCTTGTCCAGATGACTTGGGTTTGATTTCCAGTGCCTACATGGTGACTCATTATTCTCTGTAGCTAACCCTGAAGAACTGGCACCCTCTTCTGGCCTACTTGGGTACCAAGTGTGCATGCACATAAAATAAATATAATTTTTGAATAAAAAACTGAAGATGCCAGGCACCTTTAACTCAGCACTGGGAGGCAGGGGCAGGCCGATCTCTATGAATTCAAGGCTAGCCTAGTCTACACACTGAATCCAATGCCAGGGGCTGTGTAGGAGGAGTGGCAGGTGGCAATTGACTTCAGGATGTCAGCCCACCAAGAGGTGAATCCCTGATAGGCAGGACCCTGAGACCACAGACTCCAGAATGTCTTTTTTGCTTCTACTGTGCCTTTACATGTTTGCCATCTTTCTCTAGTATCTGCATGGTGTGAATAGGTGTGTGTGTGTGGGGGGGGATTCCCACTGCCTACAATGTAGTGTATTTCTCATGGAAACATCCTGATCTACTGGGCATTTTTACCTGTGGGTTATTATGAAGATGGTCCTTCTTAAACTGTACTGTTTAATTGACAATAATAATGTTAGTTTAAATAGTTATGATGATAAAAAATAAAACAAGGAAGTGACACACGAGTTTCTGTTGAGGAGCCCTATAGACGGCGGCTTAGGTTAATGATTAAGAAAAACAACTGAGCCCAGGGGATGGGGGTGTTGGTACACATCTTTAATCCCAGCACTCGGGAGGCAGAAACAAAAGGATCTCTGTGAGTTTGAGGTCAGCCTGGTCTACAGAGCAAGTTCCAGGACAGGCTCCAAAGTTACAGAAAAGCCCTGTCTCAAAAAACCAAAAAAGAAAAGAAAAACAATTAAGTTTTGGTAGTCCAGCTAGCTTAAATTCTTTTGACATTAATGTTGGGAGATATGTTCACAGTTTTCGGAGTGCATTAATAGCTGAAACAAAGCTTTGAAAATATTAGACTAAGGGCTGGAGAGATGGCTCAGAGGATAAGAGCCCTGGCTGCTCTTCCAGAGGTCCTGAGTTCAATTTCCAGCAACCACATGGTGGCATATAACCATCTCTAAAGAGATATGGTGCCCTCTTCTGGCCTAGAGGGACACATAAATCTTTAAAAAAGTTGGATTTCAAAAAGAGAAAATATTAGATTAAGATGTTTTTGTCAAGTAGTTTTGAGGCAAAAAAAAAAAAAAAAACCAAGAAGAAGACAATCTAAGTTTTAGAAAGGCACATGGTTGAGTGAGGAACTCATTAAGGTCAGGGAACAAGAACAAAACAGTCCAATTATTACTAGCTGATGCACTTTTCTTGCTAAGATTGGTTGATGACCATAGGCAATGATTAATTCCTTATACCCATTTCCACTCTTAATCTCCTACTGATGACTGGGTGTGCACCCTAAAGGTTTAAAGTAGAGCTGACTAATTCTTTTTCATATATAAAAGTTTGGATTTGTGATTCCTTTAAGATTCCTTATAAGATAAGTAATAAAGTAATTGGCCCTTTCTATGTAACTGCAAAACACAGTCTGCCAGTAAAAGACCTGACTGAGAAGACTATCTTGTCTGCCTACAAGGTTAATCTATAACAAGTTGCTTGGGTATGAATGTGCAGGGGTTCTTGTGATAATCTCTTTTTCACCTGTACTATGTAAAATGTTTAATTATGTTAAGGGATATGGAAAACATGCTGTTTTTAACTTGTATTCATTGTAATCATTCATTTGAAAAATAGAAGGTAAATATATTGTAATTCCTATATTGCTTGAAAAAGCTTGTTGGGGTATATAAACTATAGAAAAAAGTATACAGTAGAAAGAATATAGAAGAATAGAGAATAAAGAATAAAGAAAAGAGAATGTCTTTTTCCCTTAACCCCCTCAGACAAAAAAATCCTAGTACATGCAGGTGTTGTGGATTTCCCTTTGAGCCCTGTGCTGCTGGAGGCTGGCCCCTGGGCAGCAATAAGCAAGGACTACAGTCTCCCAAAACAAAAACAAAATAAAATACCTTTCCCCTGAAAAAATGAGATGTAGAGAGAAAGAGAGCACATTGTGGCTCAGGCGCTAATCTGGATGAGAGGTACAGTCCTCACCTCTGGACAGCATCTTCCTTGGGACCTTTTCTTTGCTTTTGTCCTTATCTTCCTTCTCAGAGACATCTTTTGTGGACTTTTCTTCCTCCTTGTCCGATGGACAGCTGATGTGCAAATGGATAATATCCTTACATAAAAGAAAGTGACATAGAATCAAAGAAGGAAAAAGATGTAAACCCTTTGGTGGGTGTGTTAAAAATGGTTCAGCTTAATTAAGAGCACTTGTTGGTCTGGCAAGAACCTGGGTTCATTTCCCAGCACACATATGGTGGCTCACAACTCTCTGCAACTCCAGATCCAGGGGATCTGATGTCCTCTTCTGACCTCTGTGGGCATGGACATGATGCAAACATATATTCAGGCAAAACATTCACATATATAAAATAAATATTGTTTTTTGTTTTGCTTTGTTTATTGTTTTTTGAGACAGCGACTCACTGTGTAGCTCTGGCTGTCCTGGACTTGCTCTGCAGACCAGGGACCTCAAACTCACAGAGATGCAACTGCCTCTGCTTCCTGAGTGCTGGGATTAAGATTAAAGGTGTGAGCCACCACCGCCCAGCTAATAAATATTTCTTTTAAAAAAAAAAAACAACTCTTTTTTTTAAATCCCTCAAAATAACAATAGAAATCTTAGGATGTCAGCTTTATCTTTTCTTTCCTTCATTTTTTTTAAACCTTTATGTGTGTATGTGCACACAAAGGAATGTGTCTGTGTTTCAGTATGGGCGTGTGTGTGCCACAATATACTTGTGTAGGTCTCTTGTGGAATAATCTTTTTGTACACTGTGAAGATGTGTTACTGTTACTGATTTAGTAAAAGGGTAAATGGCCAATAGCTAGGCAGCATATCCAGGTATAGAGGACACTGGGAAGAAGGATGGAGATGCCAGGCGTCGCCACTCAGATGCAGAGGAAGCATGATACGTATGAGAGGAGTTGACAAGCCATGAGTTATGTCACAGCATATAAATTAATAGAAACAGGTTATTTTAAGTTATAAGAGCTAGTCAGAAACAAGTCTAAACTACTGGTCGAGTTTTCATAATTAAATATGACATATTTAATAAAATATGTCACTGTGTCATATTTTATGAGCTGGTGGCCTAAAAGAAAAGTCTTATTTCCAGAGGGCCCTTGCTTGAGCCGTGCTTTCTTGTGTGTAGTGATGTGTCCATGCTAACTATCTAGTGTTTAGCTTCCAGCAATTGTTCACTCTTTGCCTCTTATCTCACCACAGGAAAACTCAAACTGGGCATATGAAGTCCTTGCATGACAAGGCTTTAGCCAATGTGGTGGTTTGAATAAAAATGGACACCATAGACTGATATATTTGAATGTTTAGTGGCCAGGGAGCAGCACTATTTGAAAAGATTAGGAGGTGTGGCCTTGTTGAAAAAAGTATCTGGGAGTGGGCACTGAGGTTTCAGTGGCTCTCTCTTCCTGCTGTCTTTGGATCTGAACGTAGAACTCTCAGCTATGCCATGCTCCCTGTCATGATGACAATGGATTAAACCTCTGAAACTGTAAGCAAGCTGCAATTAAATGCTTTCCTTAGCTGTGGTCATGGTGTCTCTTCACAGCAATAGAGCCCCGAAAGACCCAATGAGTCATCTTCTCAGCCCAAACTTAATCTTTTTTTCATTTTTTTACTGATATTTATTGAGCTCTACATTTTTCTCTGCTCCCTTCCCTGCCTTTCCCTTCCCCCCAGATCCCCATGCTCCCAATTTACTCAGAAGATCTTGTCTTTTTCTACTTCCCATGTATATTATATCTATGTAAGTCTCTCTTACTGTCCACATTGTTGTCTAAGTTCTCTGGGATTGTGGTTTGTAGGTTGGTTTCTTTGCTTTATGTTTAAAAACCACCCATGAGTGAGTACATGTGATAATAATGATGTTTTCTAGCTCCATCCATTTTCCTGCAAAATTCAAGCTGTTGTTACTTTTTCTGCTGTGTAATACTCCATTGTGTAAATGTACTACATTTCTTTTTTCTTTTTTTCTTTTTTTTTTTTGATTTTTCGAGACAGGGTTTCTCTGTAGCTTTTGGAGCCTGTCTTGGAACTAGCTCTTGTAGACCAGGCTGGCCTCGAACTCACAGAGGTCCACCTGCCTCTGCCTCCCAAGTGCTGGGATTAAAGGCGTGCGCCTCCACCACCAGGCTTTACCACATTTTTCTTATCCATTCTTCAAGGGGCATTTAGGTTGTTTCCAGGTTCCGGCTATGACAAACAAAGCTAATATGAACACAGTTGAGCACATGTCCTTATGGCACAATTGAGCATCCTTTGGATATATACCCAAAAGTGGTATTATTGGGTCTTGAGAGGAAGGTTGTTTCCTAATTTTCTGAGAAATCTCCACACTGACATCCAAAGGGGTTGCACCAACTTGCACTCCCATCAGCAATGTAGGAGTGTTCCCTTGTCCCTACAACCTCTCCAGCATAAGTTGTCATCAGTGTTTTTGGTCTTGGCCATTCTTACAGGTATAAGATGAAATCTCAAGAGTTGTTTTGATTTGCATTTCTCTGATGACTAAGGATGTTGAACATTTCCTTAAGTGTCTTTCTTCCATTTTAGATTTCTCTGTTGAGAGTTCTCTGTTTAGGTCTGTACTCCATTTTTTTTTTATTGGATTATGTGATCTTTTGGTGTCCAATTTCTTGAGTTCTCTGTATATTTTGGAGATCAGACTTCTGTCTGATATGGGGTTAGTGAGGACCTTTTCCCATTCTGTAGGCTGTCGTTTTGTCTTGTTGACTGTGTCCTTTGCTTTACAGAAGCTTTTCAGTTTCAGGAGGTCCCATTTATTAATTGTTTCTCTCAGTGTCTGTGCTACTGGGATTCTATTTAGGAAGTGGTTCCCTGTGCCAATGTGTTCAAGTGTACTTCTCACTTTCTCTTCTATAAGGTTCACTGTGGCTGGCTTTATGCTGAGGTCTTTGATCCATTTGGATTTGAGTTTTGTGCATGGTGATAGATATGGGTCTATTTTCATTCTTCTACATGTTGATATGCAGGGATGCCAAACTTAATCTTATAGAAGAGTGTATGTTGTTAATTACATTAAATTTTTGTTTCACCAAGTGAACAGAGGGCAACCATTTTCTGTCGGATGTCACAGCTGAAACTGCTGCACTGGCTATACTTGTAAGAACTGGAAGGTAAGCCAAGTGATGATGGTGTGCGCCTTTAATCCTAGCACTCAGGAGGCAGAGGCAGGTCGATCTCTGTGAGTTCAAGGCCAGCCTGGTCTACAGGGTGAGTTCCAAGACAGCCAGGACTATACAGAGGTACCCTGTCTAAAAACAAACAAACAAACAAAACCAAAAAAAAAAAAAAAGAACTGGATGGTAACAGGTAGATCACTGAAGTGGAAGGGTGTGGCAGAAAGAAAACCTTTAGGTCCTGGGTCCTCTGTCACATGAACAAAATACCAAGACTCACACCGCCCACTGTCACCATGTAATATAAGAGCTTTTCTTTCCTTTTATGATTTATTTCTATTTTATGTACATTAGTGTTTTGCCTACATGTATGTCTGTGTGAGGGTGTCAGAATCTCAGGAACTGGAGTTACAGACAGGTGTGAGTTGTCATGTGGATGCTGGGAGTCTAAACAGGATCCTCTAGAAGAGCAGCCAGTGCTTTTATTTGCTGATGTATCTCTCCAATCCCAAAGAGTTTTTCTTTAAAGTATCCTTTCACGCAAGTCTTGGTGGTGTGGGTCTGTAATTCTAACACATAGGAGGTAGTGGCTGAAGTATCCATGTCATCTCTGGCTACATAAAGAGTCTGAGGTTAACTTAAATACGTGAGACCCCGTCTCAAAACAACACACTTTCTTCCTTGATTTCGAGGTCCGATGTCTATGTTGTAATTGCTCTTACATTTTACCCAACAACTGCCAGGCTCAAAATGTGTCATACTCAGGCTTGTAAAAGACCTACCTGGGCATCTAGTGGCCCATCAGCAAATGGAGTGGAGGATTCCTCACACACTGCCAGACTGCGTACCAACTTGAGCTTGGAATTAGACTGAAAAATATAACAAACATCAAAAATACAGTTCATATATATTTCTTTGGTGAATATTTAGAAAATACCTTCTTAGATTCTGTTGGTGCAGTTTCTAATAAGTAGTGTTTTGTTTTGTTGTTTTTTTTTAAGGTTCTAACTATGTACCTCTAGCTGTCCTGTGGGAGAATTTAGTAAATAATAAAACTCATACAAACAACCATTCTCCTAGGGAAGCCAGGAGTGAGAAGAGAAATCGGCAGGTCAGTATAAACAATACCAAATACCCTCAGGGCTCCATGGAGTTTTTTCAGGCATCGTTTCAGGTTCAGATATAGACTAGGCCTGAATAGGAGTGGAAAGAGCCAGACTTTTCAGTAGGAAATGTATGTAAATATGTATGAACATTCAAGCGGTGGTGGCATGTGCCTTTAAGGGAGGCAGAGGCAGGCAGATCCCTGCTGAGTTCCAGGCCAGCCTGGTCCACAGAGCGAGTTCTAAGACAGCCAGGGCTACACAGAGAAACCTTGTCTAGAAAAACAAACAAAAAAATACATGCAACTATGTTCACACAGTGTGTGATGGACGCTCATGACTGAGATACAAAAGACAGGCAAGAAAGTTCTGCCTATATGTAATTTGAGAACCCAGTCACCACCAAAACATACATTTATGAAATGTGTAACAAATGAAGTTAGAAAGTAAGAGATGGAAAAAGAGCTCTCACCTTGGCTCTTTTCCTGGCATGACCATGGCTGGATGTCCGCCTCTGTTAGAAAAGGATTAAAAAAAAAAAAAAAAAAAAGGAAAGGTGGGGAAATCAATACTTCTAAGCAATGCACATTAACAACAGCAACAACACACTAATTATTAACTGGTCTTAACTGCCATTATACTATGGTGAAAATCACTTGGTGTAGTTGTTGTCCAATTCCAACTCCATACAGAATTGATTTTGTACCCCCCTCTACTTTCAAAGCACCATTCACCATGAAACAAAGATGGTAATAATTTCCTAGGTTATTTTGTATATCAATGAAGTCTTAGACAAATCATGGAATCCTCTCCGGATTGTATACACTGCCAGAGCATGAAATGCTTTTTCTTGAAAGCTTGCTCACAGAAGTCTATTTAATCCATAATGGAAATAAAAAATGAGTCCCCAGTGTCTTTCTCTCATTTTGAGACAGGGTCTCACGTATCCTAGGCTGGTCTTGAACTACCGGCATCCATTACCATGCCTGGCTTATGTAGCACTGGAGATCAAACTCAGAACTATGTGCATGCTGGTCAGGTACTCTACTAAGTGAGCTATGTCCCTAGCTCCCTCTCTCCATTTCTTTTTTGACAGGGTCCCACTAAGTAGTCTAATCTACCCCAGAATTTCACTCCTCCTACCTCAACCTCTCAAGCAATGGAATTACAGGTGTGTGTAACTTTACCCAGGTATAACATTCTTATTTCTTAAAATGTTTTAATTTGATTTTTTAAAATATTTATTTATTTATTTATTATGTATACAATATTCTGTCTGTCTGTGTGCCCGCAGACCAGAAGAGGGCACCAGACCCCATTACAGATGGTTGTGAGCCACCATGTGGTTGCTGGGAATTGAACTCAGGATCTTTGGAAGAGCAGGCAATGCTCTTAACCTCTGAGCCATCTCTCCAGCCCCCTTGATTTTTTTTTTTATGTGTATAAGTGTTTTGCCTGCATGTATGTCTGTGCACCACATGTGTGTGTAGTATGTATGGACACCAGGAGAGGGCATCAGATCCCTTAGAACTAGACTTGAAGACATTTGTGGGCTGCAATGTGAATTATGAGAATCAAACCTGGGTCCTGGAAAATCAGCCAGTGCTCTTAACTGCTAAGTTGTTTGTCTCTCCAGCCCCATTAACATTTTTTAAATTACATTTTAGTGTGTGTGTGTGTGTGTATGTGTGTGTGTGTGTGTGTGGACATGAGCACCATGACATGTAGTGACAGTAAGTGGACAACTTGCAGTTGTCTGTGTTCTTCTACCATGTGGGTTTCAGAGATCAAAATTAGAGCACTTTTGCCTGCTGAGCCGTAACATATTTCTAGGACAACACATCTAGAGTTCCACTTTGCTATACCCAGAACATCTGTCCCTGTAGCTGCAGAAATGGAATGGAGAGTCTTCCTTCCATATGTATTCCCCCTGGCCCGTTTTTGGTGTGTTTTTATGATAAGCTCCAGAACAAAGAGGAGCGAACGTGGACATGGAGTATGGTATCAGCCAAGGAAGAGGAAGGATGATGGGGAAGCAGGTGTGGGGGCAAACAAACAAGTAAGTACCTGCTAAGATTTCTGAGCATGTGAGGAAGGGTTAGGCTGGAAGATGGGGGAGGTCAGATAAGATAGCGGCGGGAATATCAGCATGGTCTTGGTGAGGTAAGGATTTCTCTTTCTCTTGTCCTCTTTACAAGTTAAACAACTCTGCCGCAGCACAAAGCGGAGAAATAGGACGGTGGGTGGAGGGAGAACTGGTCAGTGGCGAGGCCAGCTGCGACGACGGGGGAGGAGCAGTCCACAATACAGAGCAGTACTTCCCACTGCCCTTTCGAGGAGGTAAACTTACAAATGGCACGAACATTCAAAAGGTATAACAGTTAAATACTGAGTACTTTCATATTTTCCCCGCAAATACTTGACCAGGTTCCTTCCTCAATAGTCTATCAGTACTGAATTTCTTTTAAATTTATCTATGGACTTGTATATGTATAAACTTACTATAAATATATATACTGAAAAAAATCAATTATATACCCTACGCTGAACTTTATGATATCATTCCACAGACTATATATTGGTTTTTGTTTTTTCCATTGTGTGGCTATGCTACAGTTTATTTTTACCAACCTCTTTAATTATATATACTATTAGGATGCTTCTAATTTTTATTAGTACAAACAATGACTATGTCTTTGAGTTTATCCATTAATACAGTAGACCAATGGTCCATTTTACAATCTTTCTAAAGTGCTGCTAAACTGCCCTTCAACTTGTATAAGTGTCTATCTCTACTAATAACATACGAATCTACTTCCCATAATGGAGCAACCCAGGTTAAAGCCTAACAAATATCAGGCAACAGGCAGAGAAGGCATATACACAAGCATGCTTTCCTAGAACTTCTCAATTCTCATTTCTGAAACAAATAATACTGAAGCACAAAATGCTAGAAGTAATAGCTGGAGTTAAAGGGCTAAGTCGTATGATGGAGAATATGAGACCTAGCCTCAGGCAGTAAGATACACAGAGAGCTTGAAGAGAATTAATATAATCAGTTCCTTATTTCACAATCATTTTTCTAAAGCAGCAGAACAGATGAACCCAAAGGAATTATAAATATAAAGGCAGAAAGTCCAATTAAGAGGCCATCCTCAGCTGGTTATTAATACAGCACACTTGAGTGTGTGTTAACATAATAGCTTACCCATTCTAAAAAGAATCTCAGAACCCGCATTTTGTACCATAAAATCTCCCTGTAAAATCTGTTCTGAATCCTAATAACCAATTCCCAAAATACATGTTACATGGACCAAATAAAAAAGCCTCTTCTCTTTTAAACTTTTCAGCTTCAACTGAGAACAAGGACTTCTTTGATAGCACCGGTCAGTTCACTGGGAAGACCACAGAAGAAAGAGGGGAGAGAGAAGCGGGAGGAGAGGAAGGTGTTTTCACTGCTGTTGAAAAACCATGTGCCATGTTGAAAACCAGAAGAGGACAGAGGGCGTCCTAAGGAACTGCTAAGGGATCCAAGTGTGTAACAAGAGCAAAGACTCTGTAAAAGGAACAAGAGCTCCAACAGATGGAGCAAAAGGAGCCAGGTGAGAAGGGGAGCAGGTCTTCAACCCTACAAACTATTTGTATTATCAAGATACAGATATTTTTTTAACCAGAAGAGTGCCTCCTCGGAAATATAAAACCTAAAATGCTCTTTCTTTACTGTCTATCTTTAAGAAGTATACACAACAGGAGTTCAAAAGATAATTGTCTCCTAAAAACAAATAACTCGGATCTAATAGTTCATTTAATTATTATCTTTCATGTAATCTTGACAGCATATAATTAAACACTCATCGTGTATCTGTCCCAAATATTTAAAATTCATTCTTGGTATCAATGGAGGCTGGAGTACATTTGGAACTGTGGCACACTGTCTCCACATACTCTGGAAGGATGGGTGGGGAATGACAATCGACACATATAAGAAAATAGAGAGAAAAGCATCCAGGACACAGATCTGGCAAACTAACAGGGAAGACAACAGAAGAGCAGACAGCTGGAGAACAAGAACCTTAGGGAGTTGTCGGACTTTAATTTGTCCCTTTATGTTGCTGTTGCTTTAATATTTAAAGGAGGTAAGGCCTATGTGAATTAAGTTGTCTTGAAAAATTATGCTTTGAGTTTCTAGACCTTCTAAACTGAAATTCCAGTTTTAATCAGGCTTTTCACAGAGTCAATGTTTATCTCGCAGGCTTATAATAAAAGACTAGTCTCACCCTTGGGCATGAAACGAAGGATTCACAGAAACTGAGCTTGTGTAACAGAAGAAAACTAGAGTAACCACAGAGAAAAGAGCTCTTTAACAGGCTAGCTAGACAAGGCTCAGAATCTGAATAAGCTGGGCATGGTGCTACAAGTCTTTAATTCCAGGCAGAGGCAGGCGGACTGCTGTGAATTCAAGGCCAGCCCAGTATCCTGTGACTGTCCTGGAACTCACTCTGTAGACCAGCTTTGTGGCAAATGCCTTTAACCACTGAACCATTTCACCAGCCTCTTATGACTTGGTAAATGTGTTTATATGCAACTTTTTATTTGTTTTAAGGCAGTGTGTCATACATAGCCTGGACAGGCCAGCCTGATCCTTCTGTGTCTACTCTTTAAATGCTGGGAATACAGGTGTGTACCATGTTCAGTTAGTAGTGAGATGGGATCTCACTATGTAGGTCTCACAAGCCCTGGCTTGGTTGGAATTTAATATGCACAGTAGGCTGGCCCTGAACTCACAGAGATCTGCCTCTCTTGTTTCCTGAATGAGTGTGACTAAAGGCATGTGCTACTATGGCCAGCAGTAATTTATTTTTTGATAGTTAAAAAATATCATTGGTAGGGCTGGAGACATGGCTCATGTTAATATTAATAGCACTGGTTACAGCAAGTGACTCACAACTGCCTGTAGCAGATCCAACACCACAGCCACTGAACACATATGGTGCATAGACATACACAGAGGCAAAACATGTATACACATAAATAAAAATCTCAAACTTTAAAAGCAAAAACTATCACTGATGGGACTAAAGAGATGGGCTGACAGTTATGAGTACTTGCTGCTCTTGTAGAAGACCCAGGTTCAGTTTCCAGCATGCACATGGACACTAACAACTATGTTTAACTCCAGTCCTAGAGGACCCAATGACTTCTTCTGGCCTCTGAAGACACAGTACAGTATGAGGACAAACACATAGACAAAACACTAAGCGATCTAGCTATATCTGTATCTGTCTATCCATATATCTATCTGTGTATCAAGATGGTTCTGGGCATGGTAGCAACACACAGTTGTAATCCTAGCACTTTGAAAGGTGAACTTCAAGCTTAGACTCGACTACATATCAAGTTTGAAGGTCAGCTTGAACTACAGGAAATCCTGTTTTAAAAGCACTAAAAATAGTCCGGGCAGTGGTGGCACACGCCTTTAATCCAAGCACTCAGGAGCCAGAGGCAGATGGATATGAGTCTGAGGCCAGCATGGTCTGCAGAGTGAGTTGCAGGACAGTCAGAGCTACACAGAGAAACTCTGTCCAAAACACAAAACAAACAACAACAAAAAACACTAAAAATAAATAAGCAAATAAATAAAAAATCCAAGTGTAGGTTGTCCCTTGTGCTCAGTGGAGTACAGCTACCCCATGGTCTGGCCCAGGAGAGTGCACTGTGTATCTCAGTGTGTGTGGGGGGGTCTGGTGGAGATAACACCTGTATCTTCTCATTGCTTGGGGATGCTGCCAGAGATGCAGTAGATCCCCTCCCTTTGGGGTAGAGCAATAGTTCTCAATCTGTGGGTCACAACCCCTTTGAAGTCACCTATCAGATCTCCTGCATAACAGATATTTACATTAATATTCATAACAGTAGCAAAATTACAATTATGAAGTAGCAACAAAATAATTTTGTGGTTGGGGTCACCACAACATGAGGAACTGTATTAAAGGGTTGCAGCATTAGGAAGGCTGAGAATCACTAAAGTAGAGGATACCATGTTGATAACGGCAAACAATGGTGCCAGGAGCTCCAGGACCATGGGCTCTGCCAGCTTAAACTTGCTATATTAATAAAGAAAACAGAAGACAGACCCTCTCCTACATCCCCTTCTTCCCACCAGGTTCCCAGCACTGAGCTCAATGTGCTTTTGACAGAAGAAAGCTTAGCAGTCAGAACCTCAGACAGGCTTCAGACAGCACCAAAGCAATCTGTGCTACCACCAGCAATCAACATGTGACCTGCTGTCTCTAGCAGGGAAGCAAACTAAACAAGGCTACTTAGTTGTATGCTCAGGCCACAGGGTGAGAAGTTTCCTCCTGGATCGTAAGAGAGGAGAAGAATGGGTCTGCCTGAGGAAACTCAGAAGAACACCTGGAAGCCTGCTTTGATGTAAGAGAATGCTGTGCTGGCCATTTTTAATTTTTGTACCTATATATAAAGTTTATGGTTGGTTATGCTACTTTCTTAAACCACTTTAGAAACTATTCCTTTTTTGTGTACAAGGAAGCAATCCAAATTATATTAAGGTGAGTATTGAATGATATGCCTCAAGAAAGTTGGGGAGCTTCCTCGTGTACAGCAAAGGTACAGGTTAGAATTAGAGGAAAATGCAGCAAACATACTAAAAGTCAGTGAACTTGGGTTCAAACAGATTGGGATTTCGTTGTCTTCTTTTGATTTCATCATGGACTCTGTGATTATACAGGGTGGTTTTCTTTTTTTTCTGAAAGACAAGGTTTCAGGTAGCCTGGCCCTAAACTTGCTAGATAGCCAAGGATGACCCTGAACTCACTTCCTAAGGGACTGTAAACTGTCACAGTGGGCACCAGCTTGACTCAGACCTAGAGTCACTTGGGACAAGGATATCAATTGAAGAATTACTTTCATCAGACTGATCAGTGGCCATGTGAGAAATTTTCCTTTCTTCTTTGTCTTTGATTTTGTTTGTTTTGTTCTGTCTTATTCACCATGACTGTCTAAAACTCTCTATGTAGATCATAATGGCCTCAAACTCAAGAGATCCATTTGCCTCTGTCTTTGTACGTACACTAGGATTAAAGGCAGGCTTGAGGCATTTTCTTAATTGCTACCTCAGGGAGGAGGGCCCAGTCCACTGTGGACGGTGCCATCTCTAGGCAGGCAGGCCTGGGCTAAGAACAACACTGAGAGTCAGGATGCAGCCTTCTTTCACAAGCCCACGGTTTCTGTTTGAGGTACTGCTGAAGCCTTCCTCAACAATACATGTAACCTGTGCGCTGAGATAGACCCTTTCCTCCTCAATTGCTTTTTGTTAAATGTTTTATCACAGCAACCAAAAGCAAACTAGGACACAACGGTGCAAGACTATGCCTGGCTCCGGGCTAAGTTTCTGGAGAGCTCACACCAGAAACCGACAGATTCCAACCATTTTCTGCTTCTCTTGGAGCTAAAGGACTACAGACAGCACGCACGCGCTCCTTACCTGCGTCTCCTGGCGCAGACCAGTATCTTCACCCTCTCTCTCAACTTCTTCCTTACTTGGAGTTTTAGTTATAAATTTGTTTTTGCTTACAGATTCTTCCACCAGTTTTTTTTCTGATTCTTTCATTATCTCCAGAGTCTCCTGAGTAGTGTGACTGTTAGACATGTTCTGCAGAGGACACAGCAGTTTCTATGGGCTCCTGAGAAATACCAAAGGCAACAGATGAGAGGTATAGCTTCACACACTCACACTCACTCACACACACACACACACACACACACACGCCAGCAGTTTCCCTACAACCTAGAAAAAATTCCTCTGGTAAACACCACCCTTGGATTAACTTCTTTTATTTTATCTTTAACTAATTTTATTTATTTATTTATTTATTTATTTATTTATTTATTTTTGAGGCAGGGTTTCTCTTTGGTCCTGGCCGTCCTGGAATTCACTCTGTAGAGCAGGCCTTGAACTCACAGAGATCCTACTGCCTCTGCCTCTGAGTGCTGGGTTTAAAAGTGTGTATTAACCCCACCTAGCTTTCTTTTCTTATCTTCTTAATTTCATAGTTCTCCCTCTCTCTCCACCACCCCTGGCCAGATCTGGTCTGCCTCCCATCAAATTAAACTGTATTTTCTAGATACTGGTGATGGGGTGCTGCAGACCAAACCCAGACTGCACTAGTGCTAAGCACATATTCTACCACTGAACAACATCAGTAGCTACATGGATTTTCTAGAATTTCACAGAAATAAAATCACACTGTCTAGGCAATTTTCCTCAGCATAATTATTTTGATAGTCACTCGAGTTCAGTTCTAAAGCAATTCAAGATGAATTCTGAGTTCTCTTGGCACTTTATATGCTGTTAGCTACAGAATCTGCTCATATTTCCAGCTGTATTATTTAAATCACTAGATTCTTTCTAAATAATGTATCATAAAGCTCTATTCATCACCAGAAACACCCTTCTTTAACAAAAGGGAGAACTATCTCCAACAGCTAGGACAAACCACAAAATTGTTACCAGCTTCAAGATACAGACTATCAAAGCAGCTCAATTACCCAGCAGTACAGCAGCTTCCATTCTTCCTTTCATACAGCTGAAAGTGCACTACAAGAGAAGAACTTTCTAACCATCTGTCCTCCAAAAAGATTGAATATCTTCCTGGAGCAGGAGAAAATCTTAGCTTTGCTATTCACTGTTAGGTTCAGTCGATCTACCGCCTCCCAAGGACATAGATTATATATGACTAGGGTGGCTTCTCCTCACATACTGTCACTGCCCGGGAAATATCCTGTAGATCCCCAAAGTGATCTAAGAAGATGCTCTATAGATAGATCCACATCTTCACTGCTGAGCTCAAACTCTCTCAGCACCAAGAATGCTCATAAATGCTACCTCTTACAGGGATCACTGAGTATATTTTGATCCCGAATAGTTTCTTTTTTCCTTAATTCAATCACATTTATTCCCAGTATGGCTTTACAATCTGAGCTAAATAAGTAAATGATTAGCAATGCTTCCAGAAAGTTGTCAATCACACATTTTCTTATCCTTCAAATCAATTTAAAGGGTCAGACCCCAAAGTCTCCAGAGCAGCACACGTAGCCTCATCGGATACAAGCTAAACTGCCTGCAAGGTTACTGTTGGTAGCAGCTCTGCCTGGTAGCAGCTCCTGAGCAGCTGTTAGAGACCTAGTTTGCCTACAGAGATAAAAACTCCTTCATTTTGAGCATAGTGGTACACATCTATAATCCCAATCCCAGCACTTGGGAGACAGCGGCCAGCCTGGTCTATATAGTTAGTTCCAGGACAGCTTGGAGTACACAGATAGACCCTGTCTCCAAAAAGAAAAAAAAAAAGTTGACAGCTGGGCATTCTGGTATTTCTGTATTCTCAGCACTTGGAAGGCTGGAGCTGAAGGAGGAGGGCCCCTTGAGCCTTTTATATTTCAACTGGGCAGGAGGGGGAGGGGAAGAAGGTATTGTATATGGACACCCCACCTTGAATATGCCCAATGCCATCTAGATGAGAGAAATAAAATACTGTTCTAGATATACTGATTAACTGATGCGTGTTACAGGCTTCTATTGATGTGGGATTTCCCTCTGTATGCTGTGAATATGTTTTATTACCATTGGTTAATAAAGAAGCTACTTTGGTCTATGGCAGGGCAGAACAGAGCTAGGCAGGAAAACTAAACTGAATGCAGGGATAAAGAAGGTGGAGTCAAGAAGATGCCATGTTGCTGCCAAAGGAGAAAGATGCTAGAATCTTCCCAGTAAGACACAGCCTCATGGAGATATACAGATTAATAGAAATGGATCAATATAAGATATAAGAACCAGGTAGGAGTACACCTAAACCATTGGCCACACAGTGTTATAATTAATATAGTTTCTGTGTGATTATTCTGTGTGATTATAGTTTCTGTCTGAGTGTCAGGAGATGAAGGTACAGTCTTCACTTACATTCTTCTTCTTCTTTTTTAATTTTTTTGTTTTGTTTTTTGTTTTTTGAAGCAGGGTTTATCTGTAGCTTTGACCAGCCTGGCCTTGAACTCACAAAGATTCACTTGATTCTACCTCTCAAGTGCTGGGATTAAAGGCGCACGCCACCACCACCCAGCAACATTCTATAGAAAGTTATAACCCACAAGGTGTTTCTTATCCTTGGCTATATAAGAGACTTTGTTTCTATAATGTCATGTTTACACATGCCTAGCTTTTTTTTTTTTCTTTTTTTGAGACAAGGTTTCTCTGTAGCTCTGGAGCCTGTCCTGGAACTAGCTCTTGTAGACCAGACTGGCCTCGAACTCACAGAGATCCTCCTGCCTCTGCCTCCCGAGTGCTGGGATTAAAGGTGTGCGCCACCACTGCCCAGCTTTACACATGACTAGCTTTAAAATTTTTTAAATTGTATGTGTGTGTGTGTCTATGGCACAGCATTGGGTGAAGGTTAGAATGTGACTTGTAGGAGGAGTTGGTTCTCTGGTCACCACATGGGATTCAGGGATAGAAAGCAGGGCATCATGCCTGGCAGCCAGTACCTTTTCCTGCTGAGCCTCCTGAACCACCTTGCTGGCCCTGCGGAGTTTCTGTATTACTCTGTCCTGTCTGGTAAGTCAAGCCTAAGCCTCAATGTTCTTTAAGGTACCAGTGAAGCTCAGCACCACAGGCTGTGGGTAGGCTCACTTCATCTCCCACAAAGTCAGAGTATTTACCTTTAAATAAAAGAATATTCCTTCTGGGAATACTTTCCTAAAAACCCCAACGAAATTAATCTTACTGTTACTTGGTCCCATCGGCCCATTTAGCTTTCTACGCCAGTTATAAAAAAACAAGCACAGGTGCCATGTGATGGTGGCGCATGCCTTTAATCCCAGCACTCAGGAGGCAGAGGCAGGTAGATCTCTGAGTTCAAGACCAGTCTGGTCTACAAGAGCTAGTTCCAGGACAGCCAGGGCTACTTGTGAGACCTGTCTCAAGAAATAAAACAAGGCTGGGTGGTGGTGTTCCAGATTGAGTTCCAGGAAAGCTCCAAAGCTACAGAAAAACCCTGTCTCGAAAAACAAAGACAAAAAAAAAGAAGAAATAAAACAAAAAAGTGTAATTTTTTCAGTTTGTACAGCTACTTTTGTAAAAGTAGGCATGCATGCTATTTTAGTATAAAATAACAACAACCAAATCTCTAAAAATTGTTTCAAGAAAGTAGAGAAACACCCAATGTAAGTAGCAAACAGTGCGCTGTAACTAATGCTGCAGGCAGCACTTCTGCATTTCTCATGCTGCTCCGTGACTGTCTTCTCTGATAACACACACTGTAAGGAGCAAGTATGAAAACCAGACATTTAGTTATACTAAAAATGTCTGATGGAGAATATCCTGTTGGCACTGGCCATCACAGGCACAGTGGCTCCGAAAGCAGTTTATACATATATTTAACAAGCATAATATGTTTGTCAACCCCTTACAAAAGACAATTTTATGTTATTTCCTTATTTAAGCATTCCTCATTTAAGTTCGGCCTCCAATTAAAACTGTTTCAAGTCTCCTTATCATCTCCCAAGCATTCTCATTGTTTCAAAAACAGCAAGAGAACTCTGTACTAACAGACACACATATGCAGGAAACAACAGATTACAGGACATGCTAATTATGAGAGGTTTGAGAGAGTTACTAACCCCAAAGACACAATAAACACAGACCCATTTCTCCTCCCTTCTTCTGCCCCCGTACGTGGCTTTTGTTTGTTTGTTTGTCTGTTAAAAATCTTAGTTTAGGTGGGTCTGGCAATCACCATGCAGCCAAGGATGACCTGCCTCCATGTCCTAAGTGCTACCATTCCTGGTAGTGACACTGTCTGGCTCACATTCCTGCTTCCTCTCTTCCAGGCTTGTTCTGAACTTGCAATAATAGTTCTCCTGTGTCAGCCTCCTAAGTGCTGTGATTCAAAGTATGTGCCTGGCTTATAAAATATTTCTATCTTAGTACTTTCAATAAAACTTCTTCTTAGGGTAAAGCATTCTTTTGTTCTTCAAAATAACCTTTTTTGTTGCTATTTTTTCAAGACAGGGTCTTACTATGCAGCTCTGGCTGGTCTGGAACTCACTCTGTAGACCAGGCTGGCCTCGAACTCAGAGATCCGCCTTTCTCTGCCTCTCAAGTGCTAGAATTAAAGGTGTGCACCACTACCATCTGCCTTAAAATAACCTTTAATTAAGGTAATTCCTAGCAATAAAACTTCATGGCAGATGGCGGGGTGGGGGGAATGGATACAAAAATGAAATTACAACTTAAGGGCAAGTCAATTTATTAATTTTTAAAAAATACTGAAAAGGAAGAACAGCAGGGACTTATCGAGTAAGAACACTTACTGTGTAAGCATGAGATCCTGAGTTCAAATACTCAGAACCCCAATTAAAACAAAGAAATCAAAATACCAGGCATGAGCCAGAAGTTGTGTGGCAGTCTATGTTTAATCCCAGCACTCAGGAGGCAGACAGGTGGATCTGTATAAATTTGAAGCCAACCTGGTGTATACATGAGTGCTAGGCCAGCCAGGGCTGCACATGCCCATTCTAGTGTTGATGGGTAGAGTCAGACAAGCTCCCTGGTACTTGATGTGCCCTGGCCTTTGCACTACACGGGCACAGCACTTGTGCAAATACACTTGTGCTTGGTTGCTTGTATACA